GCCGCGGAGCCGCGATGCTGCGAGAGGGGGGGGGCAATCCCGAAAGCAGCGGTCTTCCCTCTCGCTCGCTCGCTGCGGCGCGGGCGGCGGGTGCGAGAGAGACGGAGGCTGGGCCGGATGGGCAGATGGGCAGGACAGGACGTGGGGACCAACGAGCTAGCTGGCCTGCAGCAGAGTGACCGTTGTCAGTTAGGCCCTTGCACACGCACGGGCTGGACTCGGACTGGACTCCAGCAGGGCCTGCTCCACCACCTGCAGCGTCGCCCCGTGCAGCCAGTCCGCCAGCATGCCGCCCCGGCCCTCGCTCATCCACCAAAGCGCAGAGTCGTAAGTGTCCTCCAGACGCACAGTGGGCCAGAAGATTGGTGCGGAGGCGGCCAAAACTCTCGACGCGTTTTGAGCTCCAGAGTCGCTAGATGGGATTCGAACCGAACGTGTAACCCCACCAATGGATTGCTCTCCGAACGAGGAATCCATTAGTGGGGTCACACGTTCGCTTTGGCGACTCTGGAGCTCAAAACGCGTCCTGAATTTTGACCGCCTCCACCGGTCTTCCGGCCCACTGTGCGACGTGTCAACAAAAAGGGCAAGGGGAAGGACGAACGGGAAGTCGAACGAAAAGGGGTTCCATTCGGAGGCCGCCACAACCCATCTGCAAGAGCCACCGCCACCGTACCGCCAGCACCATTCCGCGACGCAGCGCGAAGCGCGAAGCAGCCGGAGGAGCAGGAAACTTACCGCCACCGCCTCACCGCCTCACTGCCTCGCCACGCCGGGACGCGATGCGCGTTACGTAAGGAAGCGCCTGCCGCGTGTCGATGTGTGTGTATGGCTACGCGATACAGTTTGGCACTCTCACATACCCACTTGGATGGACGCACACACGTGCACACACACACGACAAACAAACACACACACAGACACACGCAAAGCGCAAAGCGCAAACGCGGCCTGTCATTGCGGCGACTCAATAACCGTGTTGACCTTACGGGTCGTTCGCCGCGTAATTCGTCATGTTCGTCATTTGGTCGCGTGCCTACACTGTCGTGTCGGCCTGCGCAGCACGCCGTCAACGCCGTCAAGCGAACAAACTTGCAGCGCTCGCTCCGTCCCTCTCGCACTCGCGGGGAGTCGCATAGTGAGCGGATGCGGTCAAAACCCCGGACGCGTTTTGAGCTGCAGAGTCGCTAAAAGGGACTCGAACCGAACGTGTGACCCCACCAATGCATTCCTCCGGCCCGCAGCTTCGACCTGGACGTGCCCAACGTGTGCAGCACCCTGGGCGACGCGTGGGGCAGCGCCGACTCCCTGCCCGCCATGGCCGCGGCGAACGCGGACAAGGACCAGCAGGCCCGGTCGGCGGCCGCGTCGGGGACGTCGTCGTCGTCGTCCTCGGGCACCATGGCCATGCTGCGCTCCGCCTGGGACGGCCACGTTCGCCCAGGCTCCGTCCGCCAGGGCTCCATCCGGCAGCCCCTGGCGCCGGCCTCCCTCAGGAGGTCCTTCTCCCGCTTCAAGGAGTCCATCCCGGGTAAGTCCACTCGCAAACCAAACCAAACACACAACTGTTTCTCGTGACGAAACGTCCGTGGCTGCTCAGCAAACTAAACAGTGTACCAGTACATAACCTAACCTAACTTAGACTAAACCTAACAATCACAAACTGGAGGGGCACAGTGGGCCCGAAGACCGGTGGAGGCGGTCAAAGTCCCAGACGCGTTTGGAGCTTCAGCGTCGCTAAATGGGACTGGAACCGAACGTGTGACCCCACCAATGGGTTGCTCTCCGAGCGAGGAATCCATTGGTGGGGTCACACGTTCGGTTCGAGTCCCATTTAGTGACTCTGGAGCTCAAAACGCGTCCAGAGTTTTGGCCCACTGGGAGGGGCCGTCCGTGAACGTCGCGACACTGAAAAGCGCTCGGGAGAGTCGATCCCGCGCAGAGTCCCGCGCCTTTCATCGAAGGCATCCCCTTTCTTGCGCCATTTTCGTCATTAGGCACACGGCCGGCGGCAAAAAGAAGTGTCCGCCGAACAATGAATTGCAGTTCGCTTTCAAAGTGTCGCAAGCAAGCGGCGCCGATAGGGGGCCGCCCGGAAACAGCCTCACTGCGGCTCTGTTAAACTGTTAAAAAATTTAAAAAAAATTTTATTTAACATAACGTATTAGGATTATTTTTGTCGTTCATCGAAAGATTGGCACGGACAGCCACACAGATACACGCAGGCTTCGTAGAAAGATGCACAGACAGACAGACCAGACAGACAGACAGACAGACAGACAGACAGACAGACAGACAGACAGACAGACAGACAGACAGACAGACAGACAGACAGACAGACAGACAGGCAGACAGACAGGCAGACAGACAGGCAGACAGACAGGCAGACAGACAGACAGACAGACAGGCAGGCAGGCAGGCAGGCAGACGCCGCTTCAAAGAAACGCCGCGAGCTCTCCTTCTGCGCCGCCGCGCCGCTCGCCGCTGCTCTCCTTTCCTACGCTGGTTCCATTTTCAATGAGGAAATGGGCAGACGCCGCGGCCTGCAGCCGTCGCTCTGTCTCTCTCGCACTCCTGGGGCGGCCCGTCTACGTGCGAGAGAGACAGAGCATGCGCGTGTCTGATTATTAGAGTCTAAACGAAGATCTGATCAAGTTGACTTTGAAAATTAGGGCCGCCACCAAAGTTTAAAATATTTTAAAATATCTTGAAAATAGTTGTATTCCCGGGCCCGCTGCGTAGTTCGTGGACAGGCCCGGCCGGAAGGGGCAGGCGGCAGGCAGGCGGCACGGACTCCAGATTCCAGGCAAGTCTCCAGTCGCACTGCGGCTGAGCCGAGCTGAGCGCAGCGGGCTCCAGCAAAGTGCTTCCGCGCAGTCAGTGCGGTCTCTCTCTCTCTCGCACTCGCACGGGACGCCCCATGAGTGCGAGAGAGACGGAGAGAGAAGGGGTCCATCCGCGGAACCAGTCTGTCCGCGCCGTCCTCCGCGTTAGGGAATGGCAGCGGCGATACCCCGCGCGTCGAGGTCTCCGCGTAGGGACTGCCCAGCGCGGCCCAGCAGCGCGGCGCGCGGGGTATCGCCAAGGACGGCCGCTGCACTGCAACATCCCCGGGCTGCGGTTTGCACCACAGACGTGACTAACCGTGACCGGCGTGACTAGCCGTGACTAGCGTGACGTGTCAGGCAGCCCCGTGACCCCGATGCCGCGACGCCGCGACGACGCCGCGCTGGCTGACTTATCGGCGCCGATCAGGACGGTCGCCAACTTCTGCCGCATAACTGCATGTTTAATCAGCCGGCCGAGTTGCGTCTTTTCTTCTCCATCGGGGATCCTTACTCGCGCGCCGTGAGGCGCCGTGACGGGCCGTGACGGTGCGGCGGGCATCGCGCGCTGCACCGCGGTAAAAACAAAAATTACGTCGAGATCCGAATCGCCGAGCCGGAGCGTAATTCCTAAGGAGGAGGGAATGGACCAGTGTTGCCACACAAGTAGGCAAAAATTCACCAGTCAGTGTCGCAAGGGCAGCTAACCTCAGCATGCGCACAAGCCAAGCCAGCAAAATTCCCCCCTCCTCTATTTTTGAAAAATGAATAAGCATGATTGCATTGGAACAACAAGTTGGCCCACAAGTAGGCCGCCGTTTACGGAAGGATGTGACACGCTTCTGAAATCCGTTGTCCGCCACGACGGCCTGCGCGGCAGAGGCGCCAGCCGCGGGCAGCCGCGGCCGCCCTGGGGAAGTGTCCCGGGGAATGCATTGTTTTTCCCTCTAACCGGCGGTTCCGTTTTTCTCGTTGCTGTTGTTGTTGTTGTTTTCGAGTACCGGAGCGTCTCGGCGCGAGGCCGCCGGCTCGTTGATTGCACTTCTTACAAATCGTGATAAACAAGTTCATCGCCTCGGCGTGACATGACAGTTTTCGTCAACGCGGTCACACGGCCACAGCCTCGGCCAGGGCGGCGCCCTGCCCGGAGCCCATCAAGGAGGGGGGCGTGGCAGCCAAGGTGGCAGCCCTACCGCGGCCAGCCCTTCTCGAAGGGTCCCTTGCCGTGGCCCATTCCTTTGCAGGACGTGTTCGGCTTCGGCAGGTTGACACCCCTCCCTCTCTCTCCGCCGTGGCGACCGACACCGACCGACATAAAGGTCTCGTCTCGTCGCGGTTTCGCCGAAAAGAAAAGTGCGCTCGGCTCTGCGCGACCGCCTGCCAGGTAGGCAACGCAGGCCAGGCCGGATAGAGCGACGAGAACGCGGGCTCCTCGGTGCACAGTGGGCCAGAAGACCGGTGGTGGCGGCCAAAACTCTAGACGCGTTTTGAGCTCCAGAGTCGCTAAAAAGGACTCCAACCGAACGTGTGACCCCACCAATGGACTCCTCGTTCGGAGAGCAATCCATTGGTGGGGTCACACGTTCGGTTCGAGTCCCATTTGGCGACTCTGGGAGCTCAAAACGCATCCAGCATTATTGCCGCCTCCACCGGTCTTCCGGCCCACTGTGTGGTGAGTGCTCGGAGCCTAGCCTAGCGCGTTGGGGAAGGTCAGCCGGACTGACGACCGCGCCACTTGCTTTAATTTCCGCCTCATTTCCCTGCACCTACCAACAACAACAACAACCAACAGCAGCGGCAACAGCAACTGATGAAAGTGTGGGTAGCCCCGGGTGCCCCACGGGCCGTACGCGGCGCTGGCTTGTCTGTTCGCGCCGTGCTCTCCCCCCCCCCCCCCTGCTGGTGCTGGACAGGGGCCGAGGCTGCGTCCGGGGCGCGGGGCGCGGGGTGCGGGGGCCACTCTCGGGACGCGGCAGGTGCGCAGGTGCGACGCAGAGGGCCGTGCTCGCCGTCGACGCCTCGGAGGCGTCCCCGGTGCCGCGTCGTTGTGAGTCCAGCGCTCGCGCGGCCGGAGGAGGGGGAGGCACTACGGTCCGGCGTGCCAGCGCCAGCAGTGTGCCAGCTGGCCGGGAAGCGCGCCGTCTCTCTCGCTCCTCCCGCCGCGCCGCTCGGCGAGCCAGTCGTCTCTCTCCGTCGCTCTGAGCCGCTCGCTCGCTCAGTCAGTCAGTCAGTAGGCAACAGGCCGCCGACCGAGCAGGACCGCGTTGTGCCGCCGTGGCCGTTCACCGCGCAGCCGCTCCCCGTCGCCGTCCTCCCTGACTGCCTCACGGTGTCCGAGACTCCGCCCTGGACAATGTGCACGTGTGTCCGAGACTCCCCGCGCCTGGATTAGTGCGAGAGAGTGCCTGGCGCAGCCTGGCGAGCCCCGAGGAGGCCGAGACCCGCAACAAGTGCGCCAGAGAGTGCTGTGCTACATAGTGTGCGTGTGTGTGTCGTGTTTGGAGTGCTCCGCTGCCGCTGCGTGGATAGCTACTTTGTCTAGGTAAGCAGGACGTGCTTGGCGTCGCTCAGTGGTGGAGGCGGCCTAAACCCTAGACGCGTTTTGAGCTCCAGCGTCGCTAAATAGGACTGGAACCGAACGTGTGACCAAACCAATGGATTGCTCTCCGAACGAGGAACCCATCGGTGGAGTCACACGTTCGGTTCCAGTCCTGGTTAGCGACTGTGGAGCTCAAAACGCGTCTCGAGTTTTGTCCGCCTGCACCGGTCTTCTGGCCCACTGTGCGCCGTTTGACGTATCCTTGGGCAGGCGGTGACGCCGTCTCGGGGCCGTTCTGCCGGGCAGGACGAGTCACCCGTTCGGAATTCGATTCCGCGTTTCCGAGGCTGGCTTCGCTAGAAGGCACCGCCGCGCTGTCCTTTCCACGGGGTTCGCCGAGTGCCTCCGCGCGGTCTGCTCGCTGGCGTACTGTTGTCACGCTCCAGGCACGCGTCGCAACACTGTCATTCGCAGTGTTGTTGTCGCGGCTGCGTCTCTCTCTCTCGCTTCACTGCGGGCCGCACCGTGAGTGCGAGAGAGACAGAACGACGGCAGCACTGTTGAGGCTGCTGGAGCGCGTTTTCACAACAGTGGTGCTGTGTCTGTCGGTGTCTGTGGGATAGGCCCGGTTGTGGTTTGGCCGCCCCGCCCCGCCCCGCCCCGCCCGAGACTCCAGACTCAAGACTCCAGAGCTTCCTCCGGGACGGCCCCTCGTCCGCGGCCAGGTGCGTGCGCCGCTGTCAGTGCCTCCGCCAAGCCGTCGCTCTGTCTCTCTCGCACCCACACGGGACGCCCTACGAGTGCGAGAGAGACGGAGCGACGAAAGCGACTCTTGCCCGGCATGCCCGGCACTATCGCGGAGACGGTCGTCCGCCCGGAATGTCTCTGGCGGCGATTACCTATCGGTACGTGCTTGCGCCAATTACGTAGCGCCGCGCGTCTCCCGTCTCTGTCGCTCCCGCAGAGCGCCGTGAGTGCGACGGAGACGGACAACGCCGGTGGTTTTGTTTTGGAACGCAACGCGGGGTGGGGTTGTCTGTCACGTCCAGAAACTATTCTTTCTGTCGCTGAGAAATGCATGGCCTCTGTCATTCATTTTGCACAGCTTGGCGCCTGGGAGTAGGCAGCCCGCTGCGTCGCTGTGCGGACCTTTTTTCCCGGTGTATCAGCCACCACTTCGCACCACGCCGGGGCGTTTCTCGTGCGTCTGCGAGTTTTGCTTCTTTTTTTGGAAGCTCTTCGCTGCTTGCCGTAGGCTTGTGGGTGGGCCGACTCTTTGAACCCGAGCCCGGGCCTGCACTGCACAATGGGCCAGAAGGCCGGTGGAGGCGGCCAAAACTCCTGACGCGTTTTGAGCTCCAGAGTCGCTAAATGGGACAGGAACAGAACGTGTGACTCCACCAATGGACTGCTCTCCGAACGAGCCATTGGTGGGGTCACACGTTCGGTTCGAGTCCCATTTAGCGACTCTGGAGCTCAAAACGCGTCTAGAGTTTTGGCCGCGCCTCCACCGGTCTTCTGGCCCACTGTGCACTGCCTGCAGGCTGCTGTCTCGCTCGCACTCTTGCGGTCCGCCCCGCGAGTGCGAGAGAGACGAAACGTTCGCACTGTGCGGAGTGCCCGTCGGTGGGCGGCCGGCGTGCCAAAGGCAGGCAAAGGTCGTCTCTAAGTGGCAAATGGTGAATTAACCGCGTTGCCCTGGCCTGGCGGCCTGGCCCGGGTGTGCCCGGCCCTTTCACTGTACGCCGTTTTCACAGTGAGCTGGGCACTGCACGGTGGGCTAGAAGAATGGTGGAGGCGGTCGAAATCCCAGACGCGTTTTGAGCTCCACAGTCGCTGAATGGGACCGAATCGAACGTGTGGCCCCACCAATGGATTCCTCGTTCGGAGAGCAATCCATTGGTGGGGTCACACGCTCGGTTAGAGTCCCATTTAGCGACTCTGGAGCTCTAAACGCGTCTAGAGTTTGGGCCGCCTCTACCGGTCTTCTGGCCCACTGTGCACGAGGTCCGAATGAAGCTCTCCAGTGCATTGGCCTTTGTATCGTTTAATCGATTGGCGCCCTCCCGGTGCGATTCTCGCCTTCTATTCTCGCGCCCCAAGTCGCTACAGCCCGAACTGGTTCCCTGGGCGTCCCGCTGCGTTCCGCCGTTTGCGCCGTTTGCGCCGTTTGGCGGACTTTCGGATGCGCAACGCTTTGTTAGCTAACGCCTTGGCTGCCGGCCGGCTCGCCTGCCTCGCTCTGTCTCTCTCGCACTCGCGGGGCGTGCCCTCTAGGCGCGAGAGAGACGGTTCGAGTCCGCGCCGCGGTGGCGTTTCGTGACCAACAGCTGACCCTGTTCCGATGGGCAGGCGGCGCGGGCGGGGCGCCGCTCCAGCAGACGTCGCTCTGTCTCTCTCGCTCTCGTGGGGCGGCCCGTGTTGGTGCGAGAGAGACAGCTGGCGGCAACGCGCTTGGCACTGCTTCGCACGCAGTCGGGCACCGCCCCGGCGCCGCCCCGGCACCGCCCCGCTGGGCCCCGCGACGCCACGAAAGGAACAGTGTGGCGGACCGATGCCGTCGCGTCGCGCCAACGCGAGACGCCCATGGGAGCGAGAGAGACAGAAACAGTCTGCAGGGGGCGTCGCCGCGGGCACGGGGGCCTCTCTCGCACCGCCGGGCACACATTGTGCCGCGGGGCGCGGTGGGGTGGGCTGAGCTCGTCAGCGTAGATTGAGATATATGTAAATTAGATTTGTACTCACTGGATTGGAAAGGTGTTGTTTTGCTAACTTTCCGGGCTTTTGCGTAGACCATTTTCACTCCATTTAAAAATCCTGAGCGTTTGGAACTGCTTGAATTGTCCTGGGCTAGAAATGCTATCCTAATTGTCCCGACACCCCGCCCCCCTTGCAATCAAATTGGAATTAGCCTTTGTGGGGACTGTCGGATGTCGCGTGTTAGCGTCTGACTTGCCCCTTTTGGTTGGAGTCTGGCTTGGCATTGCGGGTAACTCGGCCGTGGGCTCCATTTGCCTTTAAGTGCGTACCTTGCGCGCTCCTGCACTGCAATCGCACCTGGGAGGCACAGCCCCCCCCCCCTTCCTTTTCTCCCACAAGGCTGGCGGCGTCGAGGTGAGGTGCCCCTTAACGGCCACCGTCAAAACCTCATTTGTTTCCCTCGGAAAGTAATCTCGACGTTTTGGATTTTTTTTTTCGGCCGTTCTTGCCGTTTTGAGGGTCAAGTGTCGCGAAGACATGGACTCCAAACGCGTATCCAAACCCGAAAAAAAGGAGGCTGTGGCGCACCTTTTGCCCTCTTAATAGCACAGTACCTATCAGGATTAATTTGAAAGGGTCGGAGTCGTGAACACGCACAGGTCTGGGGTTTCGGCTGGACTTCCCCTTGTTTATGCAGTGCAGCCAGTGGAGTGTTCCGATCGCCCTGGTTCTTTTCCGCGACTGTGCGCCGCGCTGTTCCGAGCACGGCGACAACGACCCCTTGCTTTACTTGCGTAAAAAAATAAAATAAAAAATTAATGTCGGTTTGTGAAACACCCGGTCGAGGGTGACCGTGTGTTCTTTATTACGTCTGAACGACGCGGCGGCGGGTTTGTTGACCCCGTCCCGCCGGCATGGCTGGCATGGCTCGGCACCGCTCGGCACCGCTCGGATTCGGTGACGACTTTTCTCGCAGAGTTGCGTTGCCCCCGGTTGCCCCTGTGGGCCCTGTGGCGGTGTCGGAGAACTGGTTTGGGACGAAATTCGTTCACCTCGTCGGGTTTGGTTTTCACGTTCGTAGGGTGGGCTCTCAGCTGGGCTGGTCGGTCTCCCCCCTCTCGGTTCAGAGACGTGCACTCACTTGCGACAGCATCGTCTGAAAATGATTGTTCCACTTTCTCAGACATTGGCCCGAGATGCAGGATCTTTGCTTGGGTCTTTGCGACCTATCGTTGGCAGCCGACATTGAAAATGGCTTTTCACGTCAAAAGTGTGCCTTTTCGCAGTTTTCTTTTTTTCTTTTTTTCTCTATTTTGGTGCAGTCTGTGCGCGTCTTTTCACCGCGCAAAGAGCGTTGCCCGGTGAGGCGTGTAAGTCAAGCTAGCAGTCGTGTTTCTTTGTGTCCTTTTCCCGGTCTGGGACTGACTGCTGGTCTGGCACCGGACTCACCTGTCGACGCCCCCTCCCCCTAGGCCGCGCCGCCCGCCGCGCCGCCCCGCGCCAAGAAAGCTGCCGCATACAACGGCGACTCTGTGACCTCGACAAGCAGTCCGTCTTTGTCTGTATGAAACTGCGTGTTCAGCGGGCTGGTGTGTGTGTGTTGTCGGACAAATCTCGTTCCCTTCCATTGTTGTCTACATTCATTCGCCCTGCCCTTTCAACCTATCTGCCTCTCTCTCTCTACCCTTCCGGCTTTCAGCCCTGGAACCTTGCCCACCCCTTCCGGCTTTCAGCCCTGGAACCTTGCCCACCCCTTCCGGCTTTCAGCCCTGGAACCTTGCCCACCCCTTCCGGCTTTCAGCCCTGGAACCTTGCCCACCCCTTCCGGCTTTCCAGTGGCCCTGCGTGCGGCACCTGCCCGCCCCGCCCACCCTTTCGAAACTTGGCGGGTTCACTGTCTTCCACCTGCCGCGCCGCGCCAATGTTCGACCCGTCCGCCCCCTCGACCGAGGCTCGAATCCGGTTCGAGAGATCGATCCCGAACGCCACGAATGGCGGCGTGGTGGCACGCCTTACGTAAGACCCGCCCCGCCCCGCCCCGCCCCGCCGCGGCCTGCCACGCCCCGCTGAACCGGACGTCCGAATGCAGGCAGCCTAGACGTGTCCAGGAGGTGCGTCGCTGCTGAGTGATGTAGCAGCGCCTCTCCGGGGGCCGTCACTGACTTAGTCTGGGGACCGTCCCTAAATGGCGACCACTTTTTGTTTCTCAGACACTTCAACGGGGCTGTGGCAGTTTGGCAGTTGGGACAACGGTTCCGGAAAGCCTTGGGGATAATTTGTCACCCAAGCTGCATGTCAGCACT